CACTCAAAGAACTACCACCTCATTTTTAAAAAACGATGAGTTAGGGGCGCTTGGATGGCTCAGTCAGTCAAGCATCTGCCTTCAGCTCAGGTCATGGTCTCAGGGTCCTGGGATCGAGTCCTGCACCAGGCTCCTTGCTCAGAGGGGAGCCTGCTTCTCCCTCTCCCTCAGCCCCTCCCCCTGCTTGTATGCGTGTGCTGGCGTGCTCGCTCTCTCTCTCTCTCTCTCTCTCTCTGACAAAATCTTAAAAAAAAAAAAATGACTAGCATTCCATCCTAGGAGGGTATTACAATATTCTTTTTTTTTCCCATGAAAAAGAGCACAAGTAGTGGGGAAGGGGCAGAGGCAGAGGGAGAAGCAGACTCCCAGCTGAGCAGGGAGGGGAGCCTGATGTGGGGCTCGATCCCAGGACCCCTGGATCATGACCTAGGCCAAAGCAGACGCTTAACCGACTGAGCCACCCAGGTGCCCGGTTTTACAATATTCTTAACAGTAACAGGAGGCATTGTAGTTACTGTCCCCACACCTGAGCTTTCTGTGACACTTAACTAAATGTATCCTTGGGTTGTGATCTGTATTTCTTCAACTGAACTAGGTATTGCTAAATTGATCTCTTCAGTGGCTGTACCAATTATGTCCCCTCTGGTAGCATCTGAGAGATTCTGTCCCATAGCTTTGCTATCATTTCTGTTGTTAGTTTAATTTTTGCCAGTTTGGTACATCTGAGAGGGGATCTCATTAGAATTAGCATGTTCCTGATCAAGCAACTTTACAGAGTCAGGTGTCCTTCCTATAAATATTGCCTGTTTCTGTGTAACCAAACACGTTTGTGAATTTTTTAGTTTTTTGATAGTTCTGTCAGTTACATTAGTTGGTCAGTTGCTTCCCTGATGTTCTAGGTATATGATCGTCATATCCCAATATTTCTACCAGTTGCATTTCTTATTTTACTCAGAGCCCATCAAAACATGTGGGCTAGTGCTTCCAGAAGTGTTGAATAGTGGTGACAGCCCTGAGCATCCGCATCTTTCCTGGCTGTGATGGAACTGCCACCCTCAGCTCGTAAGCATGATGCGGACTTTGGGCTGAGACAGTCGTCTTTTTATCATGTTAAGGAAATGTTTTTATTAAAAGCTTTTATCAGGAGTGATTGGTAGCAGATGCCTTCCTGTCACAAAGATAAGCTTTTTTTTTTTTTACCCTTTGACCTGCTGTTAATGTTTTTATAATACTGAATCTTTGATGTGGCAGGGATAGAAATACTGTGCATTTTTAATTGGTTGCTTTGGGAGAGCAGAAGAGGTCCTCGTACACAAAAGAACAGTTCCTTCCCTAAGAAAGCGCATCTCTGGGACATTGTATAATGAAAGACCTTGAAACTTAGTAGAAGAGTTTGAAGTAAAAGGAGACCAAATTTGCTCCTCCTTCCAGGTTAATAGGCAGCTTGATGCCTGAGAGGGAGGAGTGTGGGGGACTTTTGGACTTGGGAAGAAAGCAAAAGGAGAGCCCAAGAGCCCCATTGAAGGGGGTGCGGACAAGCCTGAGCGCAACCTTGTGGATGGGGGGGCTCCCCAGCCCGGTGTGCTAAGGCAGCCAGCTTTCCACCCAGGCTCCAGGCGCTGGTGCTCCCATTTCTGTGCACTAGGGTGCAGCCCTTACCTGTGGGAGGGGCCCCGTCGTGCCTTTCTGATGTTTGAATTTGTGTTTCCTTGATTACTAGGGAAGCTTCTCCTCATTTGCTTATTGTCTATTTACATTTGTCCATAACTAGCAAGAAATGTCTGTGACCTTCTAGTATTTCAGGGTTCTTTTTTATGTTTAGAGTTTTAAAACTATTGGCAGCTTATTTCCATCCTTAATTTGAAGTAGGGAAATAGGTTTTTTTTTTTTAAGATTTTTTATTGGGGCGCCTGGGTGGCTCGGTCGTTGAGCGTCTGCCTTTGGCTCGGGTCATGATCCCAGGGTCCTGGGATCAAGCCCTGCGTCGGGCTCCCTGCTCAGCGGGAAGCCTGCTTCTCCCTCTCCCACTCCCCCTGCTCGTGTTCCTTCTCTCGCTGTGTCTCTGTCAAATAAATAAATAAAATCTTTAAAAAAAAAAAAATTATTTGAGAGAGAGAGCAGGAGAGGCAGAAACAGGCTCCCCACTGAGCAGGGAGCCCCCATGCGGGGCTTGACCCCAGGACCCTGGGATCATGACCTGATCCAAAGGCAGACACTTAACCAGCTGAGCCACCCAGGCGCCCTTAGATCTTTATTTTTTTTAAAGATTTTATTTATTTATTTGACAGAGACACAGCAAGAGAGGGAACACAAGCAGGGGGGAGTGGGAGAGGGAGAAGCAGGCCTCCCACCGAGCAGGGAGCCCGATGCAGGGCTCGATCCCAGGACCCCGGGATCACTACCTGAGCCGAAGGCAGACACTTAACGACTGAGCCACCCAGGCGCCCCTAGATCTTTATTTTTTATTCAAATGTCTGAATAGTTGTACCAGAGCACCTGGCTGGCTTGGTCAGTAGAGCATGCCACTCTTGATCTCGGGGTTGTGGGTTCGAGCCCCATTTGGTTGTAGAGATGATTATTTTTTTCAAGATTTTATTTTTAAATAAGTAATTATACCAAAATTTCAGTTTATGGACTTAAAATACCATATATGATACCTGAAGCAAAGGGTTCACATCTATACAGGGTAAATTAACTCCTTCACTTTGACAGTAGAATGACTCTTGTTTGTGTGACAAACGGGTAGCATTAGTGGTGGAATGACTAAATCATGCTCCGTGATGCTCCGGTGAGTCTCCCTTTCCCCTTACTGACTCTAGGGCTTGAGCTCTGTCTTGATTCACCAGTAGGTTCTGGGCCTGAACATTGCAAGTCCTGCTGGGCCTCAAGCTGGACAGCAGTTGCCAGTGATCAGAAGCAATGTCAAATTGGTTTTGACCCCAGGGCTGGCCATTTCTCGGGGTGATTGCATCAGAGATCCTGCCAATAATCAGGAGATTACTGCCAGCATGTTGTTTCTCCAGGACTTTGCTTGGGGTTGGACAGGCAAGTGCTTTTGATGTTTCTGCCGTCATGCATCCTGTATGGTCATACCCCCATCCCTTCCTTGTCTGGATGCCCAGCAGAGTACAGCAAATGCTTCCCATGTCAGTGGCTGTGGGCTGGGGGTCTCACTCTAGTCAGGCAGGTGAGTGGACTGTTGACTGGAGCCCACACGTGGCCCGTCCAGTGCGATGGCCTTAGAATGGTTGCACTTACATGGCAGCTTGGGTTCGTGGAGGAATAAATGGGATGTGAGGTGCTGCCCAACGGAGAGTGAAGATGCCAGTCTCCAAAGGCCTGGACCAGGAACCTGGCACCACCTCGCAGCTGCCACCTAGGGGTGCTGGGCAGAGTAGCCCAAGAGCCCAGCGTAGAGGGGACTGCTCTCCCCACTGCTGTTCTTATGCCTCTGCAGTCTCTTCGCCTCAAAGCAGCCAGACTCACCTTTCTTAAAAAGTTGTTTCTCTGCTCAGAACCCCCAATGGTTCTTGAAGTAAAACCTGAAAGTCCTGCCCGAGGGCTCCGTGGCCCCAGTGACTTGGCGCCTGGTGCCAGTCCAGTGTCATGGTCTACCTTTCTTCCCCTCGCTCACTCCATCCCAGCCATGCTGGCTTGCTGAGGTTTCTCCCTCGCTCCAGCCATGTCTCGGACGCCCGGCCTTTGCATCCGTGTTCCTGTAGCCTGGAAGGCCCTTCTCCTGGCTGTTCACAGAGCTCCATCTGCTTAAATGTCCCCTCAGAGAAGTCTTCGCGTTACTTCCTGTTGAAGAGCACCGTGCATCATTCTGCATCCCCGTAGCCTGCTTATTTCTTTATAGCACTTAGATTTTTGTGTTTATTCATCTCTTTATCCCACTAAAAACGAGTTCCATAAGAGCGGTGACTTTGAGATTTGTAAGTTGAATTTTATAGGTGCCATATTTTTCCGTAGTTTGTGACGAAGGCCAGCCAACAAAGGCTTCACGAGCCGAATGCCGTAATACTTACAGGCACGGAAAGCACTCCACCTAGATCTAAGTGAGAAGCCACATCGACAACTTGAGGAGGGAGCATTGGCCTTCCCCCTTCCCCCTCCCGTCTTGGATTGTACCCACCTGCTGCTATGGCTGCTCCCGGGGGTGGGGGGGGCGCAGGCAAGGTCCCCTCCCCTCAGAGACCGCCGCTGTGCGTGAAGGGAAGAAGTGTCCATACTCACACCTCTGCTTCAGCAGCGCTGGGAAAGCCGCCAGCCCACTCGTCCGGCGGCACCTGCGTGAGGCTCGAGGCGCGGGTTCGGGACAGAGGCCCATGTTATAGAGGAGACGGGCAGAGCGGAGGTGGCGGCCCCCAGGACTTGAACGGTGGTGCTCTGTCTCTCTGCACCGGTGTGCGTGTCGTCTGGCAGTGTGACGCCGCTTGTGCCCGGAGCTGCCCGGCACAGGTTCGCCCAGGCCCCTGGTTTGGTTGCATCCCGAGCGGCTTGTGCTGCCCCAGTGTGTGCGGCAGGTGGTGGTGGTTGCTGGTTGAAAAGCAGCTGCCGCAAGCATTCGGCTGTTTGGGGGTGTTTTCACATCTTTAAATGGCTAAGGAAGTGTCACTCCTTGGGGAACAGTCGAGAAATTGTAATGAATAGAGCTCTGCCTGCGTTCAAAAATTAGTCTTTTCTTTTGGGGCCTCATCTGAAAAATGAAGTTGAGCTGGATGATCTTAAGGTCCTTTCTGCTCTCATCTCTGTAGACTGTCCTGTGTTTTTGATCTGAAGTTTCAGAGCCACCACATTAATCAGCTACTGTTTCCCAGAACCCATCCAGTAGGGGCCACTGTCCCCCGGTCCCGCCGAGTGCGGTCACCACAGACCCAGGGCCGGCTTTGGCTCTCAGACGCTTGGCCATGGCCGCACGTGGCACCTCCAGATTATGATTGCTCTGCGTCGGGCAGCTGTGTCTTACTGCATTTCTAACTGCTGTATTTGATTCCTAGATTCTTCAACTAAACTACAGATGAGAGTGGCCAGGCTGCTGGAGTTCTCCATCACTGGGGCGAGGGGGACTTTCTGGAAAAGAACTCCCCAGCACACTGTGTTGCAGGGAAGCGCTTGGAAGTCGGGGCTGGAATTCCACAGCCCTTGGCCATTGCCTCATCTCTGACTGACGCAGATGAAATGTGTTTTCACAGGTGCTATTTTCTGCTTCACGTTTTCATACAGAGTCGGGGAAAGTGTAGCTACTGACAAGTAGAAAAATGCTATTTTTTTAAAAGGCAGTTTCTTGTTTTTCTTAAATGGAATTAGTCCTTGGCTTGTCTCCCAGTCCTAGCCCCCCTTCCGGCTGTTAATGTCCCTGGGTAAATACAAATAGAGATTGCTTTGTGTATGTTATAGGGTTTTCTGTTTTAGAGAGAGAATTATGTTACATATGTTTTTGTTCTAAATAAATAAAACCTTTCTCTGTCCCTGCAAGATCCAGTATAAATTGTGTGAATTCAGCTAAACTTGTGAAGTCAGTAGGTGGGGTGGAGGGACAGCCATTCATTAAGACCGGTTGGATCAGCAAGAGTCAGAGCAATTCTTTCCGATGTACCCAGTAAGGAAATGCCTGAGCATTCAAATGGGGCTCCCTCGCCCACTCCCTTCTGTGGGGAGCTGCTGCTCTGGGATGAATCCCGGAGAAACCTGGGAGCCGCCAGTCCTTGGGCACTTGGTTCCCCCTGGCCTGGCCTTCCTGGCTCCCTGCAGTGCTGAGGCGGGGGTACCCCCTTCTGGGCTCTGGCCCTGACCCCTGCGATCTCCCCACAGCTTTGTTTCAGTCCTTGTGTAAGCGTACCCAGCCCTTCCTACAGCACCCACACTGCCCTTGGATCCTTTTACCAACCCTGCATCCTCCCTCTGCAGCCTCCCTGGCCCTCATCTTCCGTCCTGACCACCCTTCTTCAAGGGAGTTGTCTACACTGGCTTTCTCCACTCGCCGCCACCGGTTACTCTCCAGCCCACTGCCTTCCCGCCATCTCACCCTGACCTGCTGTGCAGTCAAATCCAGTGGGCGAACCGGGACCCTCTTTATCTCGTCCCTCAATTTCCCAGCTAGAAGCTCTTGATTTTCTCCAAACCCTGGGCAGCCCTTTGTTTTCACTCTTCTCATTACCACCATCCCCCCACTTCCAAAAAACAGAGCATTTCAAATGAGTTCCCACGATCAGCAGCCACTCACAAGTGACCCAACCAGACCACGGGTCTTGCTCGAGGGCTGAGCACATTCCCTGACCCAGGAGACACCTGCTCTGTGCCCCCACTTCTGGCGCCTCCCTAACAGGATCAGCTCAAAGTGGTGCTGCCTCTGTTCCTGGGGAAGCAGGGTGCTGAGAGGCCCCCGGGGTGACTCCTGTTCCCCCTCCCTGGGGCTTCCTTCAACCCGGGGACTGGAGTGGTAGCCTTAGAAGCATGATTTTCTCTAGAGGCCATGAACACCTTGCTGATGGATCCCAGATCTCCAGGCCTCATGATTTTTTTTTTTTTTTAAGATTTTATTTATCTAGGGGCGCCTGGGTGGCTCAGTTCGTTAAGCACCTGCCTTCGGCTCAGGTCATGACGGGCTCCCTGCTCGGCGGGGAGTCTGCCTCTCCCTCTGACCCTCCTCCCTCTCATGTGCTCTCTATCATTCTCTTTTTCGCTCAATAAATAAATAAAAACCTTGAAAAAAAAGATTTTATCTCTTTGACACACAGCATGTAGGCGCACGAGCAGGGAGAGCGGCAGGCAGAGGGACAGAGGCGGGCCCCCCGCTGAGTGGGGAGCCCCATGTGGGGCTCCACCCCGGGGCCCCGGCCGAGCCGGAGGCAGATGGCCCCTTGCCTGAGCCACCCAGGGTCTCAGGCCTCATGGTCTTGGCCTGGGATCACCTGGGGTCAGACCTCCCTCAGTCCCTCCAGGTTCAGGAGGGCCCAGACCAAAACCACCGCCTTGCCCCACGCAGGCACCCCACACAGCCTGCTCTGCCATGCCCTGTCTCCACAGCCAGCAAGGGCATCCACCCAAATGCCCTTTCGTCCTTGGCCTCTGGTGTGGCCGCACAGCCCCGCCGTCTTCCGTGCCTCTCTGTCTTCGCTCCTTAGCCCTCACCGACCTCCTCTGCCTCCATTCTGGCTGCTTCTCTCCTGTCCCCGGCCCGGCCCGCACCCCCACAACACGCGCATACACACGTGTGTGGAGCACACAGCGCCCTGGAGTGGTGGGAGCGCCCCCTCACTGCCCACCCCCTGCTCGGCAGCCTTCCCCGGCTTTCCCTCGGAGGAGACTTGCTGGAAGCCTCAGCAGAGGGGTGGCCTGACGGGTGTTTCAGGAAGATCACTGTGGTAAAGCCTTTGGGGAAGACCACGTGAGTGTATTCAAAGTTAAAGAATACATGCTTCTCACCCCAGCAGTCCCCCCTTGTAGGACTCTGTCTCTCAAAACCACTTACACTTGTGGACTAAAAGCCTGTTTGCTGCACCACTGTTGAGGACGTGGCAGAATTGGGAGCAACTGTGAGCCTTTCAAAGGGGAGTGGTAAGAGAGCTCACAGCACCGCTCCCCTGGGGACACTTTGTGGCTTTGAGGACCAAGATAGAACCCGGAGAATAACACATGGAGTCTGAATACATTTATGTGTGTAAATAACTGGGAGAATGTGCTTCACACTTAGCAGTGGCCCTTCCGACCAGCACAGCATGGGAGGCCGAGGGCTCCACGTTTTGTTCTGAGGCCTTCTGTACAGTTTTCGATGTCTCCGTGTGTTATTAGCATCATCAAAACCCGGGGACCTGGCTGCAGTGGATCCGCGGAGGATGGATCAGAGGGGTGACACGGGGCTGGGATCTGGGACTGTGGGGCGCGCCCCGTGGCACCGGCTGGCACCTTGAAGGAAGACCAGCTGGCTGCTCCAAACCCGCCACGCGTGTCGGAGTGGGACAGTGTCATCTTCTCCTTCTGCCAGGGGGACACTCGAAGAACAAGGAAGCCAGCTTGTATATGGCTGATGTCCAAAAAAATGTCTGAAAGCGCTCCTCACGTGGGCGGCACAAGGCATGGATGCCTTCCAGGTGGCGCTGGGCTGGCCCACCCCTCAGGTCACGTCACGCAGTTTGTTCTCAGCAAACCACCTTTCCCCTGACGTGGGTTCAGAGGCAATAAGTGCGGGCGTGGAGACTCGAGCTGGTGACGCTCCTCAGTCCTGGCGTCTCAGCGGTCTGCGCGGCCCCCCGGCTTTGGGACTCTCTCTTCTCCCGGCGGCCTCCCGCACAGACCGCTGTGTCGGCCTGCTTTGCGTGTGTCTTTGTCTTGCGTTCTCACAAGATGTGTGCATCGGGAGGTGTTACGAAGTCAGCCTTCCCACGGCTACTTGGGCTGTGCGGCGGCGCGGTGGTGATGCTGCTTGTCAGTGGGGCCGGCCAGGCCCCTCACAGGAGGGCTTCGTTCGTTCTTCGGGAGACTCTGTGAGGCGAACTTACCAAGGAAGGAAGAAACTGGCTGCGGGGGGGCGGGGGGGAGGTCAAGAAACTAACTGAGAGCCCCTAGGGGGGCTCAGTCAGTTAAGGATCTGACTCTTGATTTCAGCTCAGGTCATGGTCCCGCGGTTGTGGGATTGAGCCTCATCGGGATCCACGCTGGGCATGGAGCCTACTTGAGATAGTCTCTCTCTTCCTCTCCAAAAAAAAAAGAAACAGGGTGCCTGGGGGGCTCAGTTGAGGGTCTGACTTGATTTCAGCTCAGGTCATGGTCCCGCGTTTGTGGGATTGAGCTCCGTTGGGCTCCAGGCTGGGCATGGAACCTGCTTGAGATAGTCTCTCTCTCTTCCTCGCCAAAAAAAAAATAAACTGAACCAAGAGTCCCCCGACTCTTCCTTGTGAGAGCCTGGGTGGAACCGCCGCCTTTCCTGCCTCAGCACCGCCATGGGACTGGTGGGGACGGGGCCTCTGGCCTCCACAGGCCTTCCTCCGCACAGCCGCCTGAGCTCAGCCCCGGCTCTGGGAGCCTTGCTTTCCTTACTCTACCCCTCCCTGCTGATCTGCCAGCATCCACGCCACTTAGCGTCTCATTGGAGGGAAGGTGGCTGAGGCCCAGGGGAGGAAGGACTTGCCCCAGGCCGTGTGGCTAGAGCCGAGCAAGGGCTGGTTGAACTTTCCCCTAGGTCGTCAAGAACCTCTCCCCTCTGTCTCCACCCAAGGCCAGGTGCTGTCTTCAGAAAGGATTTGAGTTCTTTCCCCTCTCTTTCCCCTCTCCACCAAGGCCAGAAGGCTCTGGCTGACTTGCTGAGCAAACCAGGCAATAGGTGGCGACATAACCCACTGTATGCTTCCCCGAGCAAGCCAGGGGGCCCCCGGAGAAACCATGGCCCGCCTTTGCCACAGCAAGTGACCTGCGCTCGTGTGCCACGGCAGCTACCCTTTATGGGAGGTGGTGGCCTGTTGAGAAGGGCCCTGGGCTTCCCTCTGCCCCCCACCCCCCCACTCAGCATGGTCACTCAGGTGCTGGGACAAGTGTAGCTGGGAGGCCACCTGACCTGAAGGTTTGCTGAGTGTGGGCAGACCAGACCCCGAAGGTTGTGTGTGGCTGGCTGAGAGACCCAGACCCTCCTGTCAGCAGTGGGGAGTCCTGAGGCTCCTTCCCCAGGGGAAACCAGCAACACCCTTCATCCTCTCATGTCCAGGAGTCAGGCTGGCTGCAGGGAGAGACGGCTCTCTTTCCTTCTCTTTCCTCACCTGGTTAAGAAGCTTACCTTGACCTCTCTAATCTCTCTGGTCAACTCTTTGGTAATGATAATGACGTAACAACATGAGCGGTCTGATTTAACCCAAAGCCTCCGTTAAGCAAAAAAATGCCCGTGTCTGTGTGCATGTTTACACACATGCACTCATGGTTTTGGCCTTGAAGGCAAACGTTCTGGAAAACGAAATGTCAGCAGATAATACAATAGGATATAAATATTGTAATAAACCAAAAAATGTCTTCCTTAAAGACGTGATATTCTTAATTCCCTTCAAACCAAAAGCACAGCCGTGGGGGCGGTGGGGGGAGAACTTCAGCCGGATCCCCATTCTGGTCCTCCTCCTTCGCCAGCTCCCTCCCACTGACCTTCCCCCTCACTGCTCACATCAGGGGGGAACGCCTAGCAAATCCACATCCCGAAAGGGATGGGACTTGGGGGTGAGTGTGGCTTTGACTGCTCTTAGAGACACCCCAGGAAACAAGGACAGCACCAGGAGACAGCCTGCAGACAAATGGCTATGTTAGAAAAGAGGGCTTCTGGAAAAGGGGCCACATGACCCCAGACAGAACCCCAGACTTCTGCCAAGTCACCGGGCATCTCTGTAGGTACCCTAGGGGGCCTGTGCCAGGAGGGGTGTTCGCTCAGCGACGGGTGCTCGCTCAGCGACGGGTGCTCCTTGTACGCTAGCTGAATCCAAATCCAAATTCCGGATGGGAAACC